TTTGCTGATTGCATTTTTATAGTATAAATTACCATGTGTCTCTGTCCTCTTTGTTGCTGTAAACTGGTAGTTGAATCCAGAGGTTTGGTTAGATTCTGATTCATTTGAGGGAGTTTTGTTTTGGGAGTAAATAGAGGTTTGCAAGACTACTTTGTAGTAATATTTTATTCTTTTATCAGAAGGCATGAAACATCTGACTGTCTCTTTGTGATTGTAGCAGCTACTGATACTCAATGCCTACATCCATTAGTTCATTAGGTTTGCAAAAATAATCTTTTTTTTAATTAGGCAATTATAGACACACATGTATACATGCATTCACATAGACACATTTCTGTAAACAGATATATCTCAAGCCGACTCTAATCTTTCCCTTAACCCCTCTTTGTTACATTATTACTTGTTCTTTTACCTCACTTGTTTTCAAAGTTCTTTTTTTATGTGTGTGAAAATAAGATTTGTATAATACAAAGTGGTGACCCAAATATACAGTAACAACTTTCCCAGGGGAACGTAATTATTTTACAGGAGAAATGAGGAGAGTAAAATAGCATGTATAAAACAATAAGGAGGTCACAGAAAAGATGTGTCTGAGCTCAGTAAAAATTTAAACCTAAATTCTGCCCAGAGAACACTCATATCACTAAGATGACATTCTAGAACTATGAAACTTTTAAAGCTTGAAAAACTAAAACATGTCCCTAGTTTTAAAGTTTTCTGGATGAGAAGGATAAAAATATGTCAAGATTCACTCATGTGTGTTTAAAAACATGGGATTTGAGTAGGAAAATAATTTGAGGTTTTTGTTTTGTTTCCTTTCATGAAGCATGTATTTCATCTTAAGCTGGTTCACCAACGCCATTACATCTCAGGGTCAGGCTGGGCAATTTCATGCCATTTGACCTAACAACTTGGAGACTTCTGAGTAATAGTGACTCATAGTATGGGTGTTCTAATGTCTGTCACAACATGAAAGGTATTCATTTAACAGAGACAAAACAAAATCAGATAAACAAAAGACATGTGTATCTAATTGACTGCAAGGGTTGGAATGAGTGGTTTATTCTTATTCAATTAAAGATAAAAATTATTTACACCAAATAAAATTAGAAACCTGCTATGTTTCTTCTCAGTCCATGGTGTGAGGTTGGGAAGAGGGTCCTTTTTAAAAAGAAATGGCTTCATCGAGATATAATCCACATAGTATACAATTCACTCACAGTATACGACTCAATGTTTTCTAGTATATTCATAGAGTTATGCCACCATCACTTCAATCTAATTTTATAACATTTTATCTCCCCTAAAAGAAACCTCATACCCATTGGCTACCACTTCCCAATCTCTGTGCCCACTATCCCCAGCCCTAAGCAACCCGTTTACCTTTGTTTCCACAGATTTGCCACTTAATGGGCAATTACCTTTTAATTGCCATTCATGGCCTGTCACACTTAAATTCTTTCTTTTTTTAACATTATCATAAAAAGAAAAATTGAAGAAAGGCCAAAAAAATATGAATGAGTATCACAAAAATTGTAACAGGATAACCAAAAGAGATGTTGTTGAATCCAATAGCATCTGATGATTAAATAAATAATCTTCAAGCATCAAGCTATGGGAAGAACACACTTAAGAGAATCAAGCACTAATAATTTTCATTATAAACTTGAAGCAGGCTTAAGTTGCAGAAACTTGTGATGCTCTTAAAAACAGTGATATTTGCAACCAGGAATATTTGCAAATTCAATTTCTGACTTCTCTGCTCACCAATTTTGTGGCTCTGGGGCAAATAATAGAAGATTTATACACTTCAGATTCCTCTTCTGTAATATGGGAATAATGATGGTACTAACTTCCTGAAGTTAGCATGGAGATTAATTCACGTAGAGCTTTTGGAACCAAATGTGGCACATAAGTGCCCAATAAATGTTAGTTATTGTTTTATCATCTTTATTAGTTAGAACTCAACATTTTAGGTCAAATTCCAAAATGGAATTTTTAGATATGCCAACTTGCCCCATGCCACATTTGATTGGTATTTTCAAAGTCTCTGTTTAAAGACGTTTCCTGCTATGAAAGCAATGGATCTAGATCTAAGATATTGTCATGTAGACAGACAAAGAATATCATTGATCAAGTATAATTAAGAATAGAGCTGTAAATCAGTCATCGGTTGCTTCAGAACCATGTGTTCTATAAATAGTACAATTGCTAATTTATTATTCTCACCTAGCACTCGTGTAACAGATTTTCCTTTTCTATATTAAACGAAAAAAATTACAGCAGCAAAAAAGCTTATATAATGGTATTACACATGTCTAATAAAAAAATAAAGAATACTGTTAAAGCATTATAAACCACATATAATCTCTTATAGTTTAAATGTTTAGCTAAGATCCTAAACATATGACTTTTAAGTCTGTGAATGTGAACTGAAATTGTGACTTGTTTTTTTTTGTCCACAAATGTAAGGAAATGTAACCACCAATAGTTTCATTACCTTCTCTTTAATTCCAATCTGAAATGGCTTTTGCTAATAAGACTGACACATTAGATATGTTTATTCTTAAAGTATTGTTGTGTATTTTCTGTTCTTTTGAAAAGTGTGGTGCTTAGTAGTATTATGTCCCAATCAGATGATTCATGATACACAACATTTTCGTACTTGGGAAATGTTAACACATTATAGTCCTTGCTTTGAAACATAAAAGAATTAATCACAGATAACACATTTTCATATTCCTTTGACCCTTGAGACCATTTAAATGATGTGGCTTGCATGCAGCCCCATTTTGGGCCCTCGAAGCCCTCTACATTGTCCCTCTATGTCTGCATTTTCACCCCAGGCTTTACTCCTCTTGGCATTGTTTTGTATTTGCATGAAAATTTGTAATTTTTTTTTTGCATGACAAGTCATTTGTGATGTTGAAGTTAAACGTCCAACATACCTTGCAATATCACATGCCATTAATTCTTACATGATTTTTTTCTTTTATTTTCAGTTACTGAAGTTTAAATATGCTTGAAATGTAAAAGTGGCATGAAACTGGAGTGATGCAAGAATATTTAGTATTCTTTTAAGGACTGTCATTTTTAACTGGGAAAATTTGGGGGCAGTTCTCAACCTTGTTTTTGGATACCAACCCTAAATTACAAATGATGATAAAACCATATTGAGCATAGGTGCTGTCAGCAGAGTAATAAATTCTGAAGACACCTTTTCTTTTCCCTCTGAGAATGTAATTTTAGTACTTAAATGTAAAGTATATGTCCTCTAATTTCAGAAATTATTAATTATTTGATTCACTATTTTTCATAAAACATTCTTAATGGGCATACAATTGAGCTCTATTACTTTGCTGAAAGTTTCTACTACCTAAAAAAGTAATGAGTTACTTACTGAGTGACAGCACTAACATTTTAGCACTTTAATGTTTCCTAAATGAACATGGTTACGAAAATGGATATTTGATATGGGAATGTATGAGTATACACAGAAGATAAGTTATTTATACCATTTTGTCTAGCTTCAAATTCATAAGGGTACAGGACTAATTCCCACCAATGGGACAAAAGTGAACATCCAAGCAAGTTTCCTTTCCTTCTAAGTAGTCACCTTGCTGCTCTACATTTATTCCTAACAGCTGCCATTGCCAAAAATGTTTTTGAATACCTGTTTTCAAATTACCTTCAGAGTCTTTGGCACCTTCATTTCAATAGCTGTGTGTTAACAAATCTTGATCCTTGGAGAGTGATTTTAATTTTTTTAGCAGCTAAAAGACCCTCAGAGCCAAATCAGCCAAACAAAGATGGTAGTCAATCTGGTAAAACATATTTTTTAATGATATATGAATATGAAATTAGTAAAACCTGCATGACCAATAGCTTACAAAATGACTGTCAATGCATTTCCCAAAGAGAAACCCCACAAAGCATTTGCATAAGAACAGCAGCAGTGGAATTAATGGAATTTTCTTAAGGAATCTCCTAGGCAAGCACATGATATCCACTTGAATGAATAAATTCTAATACCTGTATCATATGATGTATCTATGTGTTATTTTTAATTCAGCCTCATTTAAGCTAATGGAATAGTTAAAAATTTTAAAGACAGTCATTCTTACTTTTTTTTACCTGATCAGAATCTAGTTGAGTCACTGCCATTTTTCCTATGATAAGTTAATATCAAGTTAATACCCCTTTAGCAGCAATTTTAACAGATTTTGGTTGATTGCCTCCTGGCTGTCACCAACTAGCTCTGTGATATCAGTACAGGACACAACTCTGTGCCTCGGCCTCCCTGTCTACAAAATGAGGACATGGGTCTAAATTATTGTTAAAAATCTCTTTTGAATAAAAATGTTATATTCTAATGATTATATATTCATGTATAAGGCTATAATTATCATATATCCTTAATCTACATACTTCTTTGTGCAGTTTTAATTAAAACTAAGAGAAGTAACTCAAATTCAAATTATTTTAAAAGACATCAAGACACTGAGAAGAAAACCAGTTTTTCCAATAAAGTATTTTCTACGTGATGGTGATAAGAAGACATTTGTATAGCACTTTATGTTTACATTGTCTTTTGTGGGTCTCACAACCTAAGAGCTGCTATCATTGTCCTCATTTTGCAGATGAAGATACTGAGGTTCAGAGAGATTCAATTACCTCTCTAAGGTGATGAACTAGCAAGATGTAGAGCTAGCACAAAAAAATTCTGGGTCTTCTCCTTCTAATTTAAGACTTTCCCTCCATCACCATTTATCTGTAACCAGTCTTTTGCGTAGGAGACAATTTTTCCAAGGTGCCACTATTCAGAATTTATACTCCTTGAAAATAAAATTGACCTTTAGAACTCTCTGGCACCACTTTAGAATTATTCACTTGCGTCACTACAGCTCTCTGTGCTTTTACAAACTAGTTGTTTTGTCAGCATGAGTGTGACAACAATTAGACGTCCCCTGTTTTTGCCCCATGCCTTTTCTCCTTCACAGTCATTCAATGACAAGCGTAAAAAGAGCTTCATCTTTTCACGAAAATTCCCATTCTACAAGAACAAGGAGCAGAGTGAGCAGGAAACCAGTGATCCTGAACGTAAGTAGATTCTCAAAGATAATGTCACATGCAACATAAGAGAAATAAATTCACAGGCAACACGCAGGATGTAGGCTCTCCCACGCCACACACCTAGGCAAACAACACAGCAGGCAGGCAGGGCAGGTCTACTACTGTGACCAGTGTTTGACTACAGTCTGGATCCCTCCTTTCACATGATTCTTCTTTGCAGAAAGCATTGGACGGAAACTTGCCGAAACTGGGACTTGCACCCAACCGACATTTCTCTTTGACCAGGAATGGGTCTGGTTTGCCTTTTCTATCATGCAACTCTCTAAGTCTTGAGACAAATTCTTTTCTGAGAAGAAATATTGGATTCCATTGACACATATGGTTTTTGGAATGTTAGGAACAATTAAATTATCTTTATCAATTACTAACACATTTGCTCACTCTTTCCCTCCTGCAAAACACTAAACACTTGCTGGGCACTGAGCTTGTAATGGTGGATATCATTTAGAATTTGCTATGAAATTTGGAGAGGTTTATTCCTTAAGTGGGGCATTTTTGTGGCAACATGATCAACCATGGGCCAAAAATGGGCATTTGCTGAATTTTTTTCTCTCTTACAATGTTTTGTTTAAACCTTGAGTTGCTCTGCAAATCAGAAATTTCCTTCTTGAATCTCAGCTCAAGGAGTTTGGGGTGAAAGTTGGTTTAAAAGAAGAGAGAATGGGATCCAGATTGTTAAGGCAGCACGGTCTGTCATGGTAGTATTCATTTCAACTCCACTGACTTCTTCCTTCCTCTTCCGTGGCTGTTCTTCCTCTCTCATTGCTCTCTCTGGGGACTTCCATGCAGGACATCCCCGGATTAGGTGACGACGGTTATGGAACAAAGACTCTGAGTAAGTTTCCAGGAATGGTCACTGTAACTTTTCTTTTCTTTTCCTTTCCTTTTGAGTTTGGCTTTTGTTCCTTTTCCTGAGGGCCTTTCACTCCTAGCATGCACAAGATACGAGTTTTATTTGTTACCTAGCTGTGAATGCTCCTACAAAGTAACTTTCGATCGTTTTGTTCTGCATGTCAGCATTTAAAAGCAAAGTGTATCAGGCACTCTAACTTCTGTTGCAGTTAACACCATCCCTTTCTGACCAAGTGATATTATCAACATGGTCCTGATGCCCACCATAGCATCACTTGCTCTGCGCTTAATACCTCCCAGAGAGCAAGAAACCATGTTGAAAGAAAGGGTGAGCTAAGTGTTCTAGAACAGCAAAATAGAAATGTATTTTATGTTCTTCCTTCTGCCTTTTCACATGGAAATATTTAATGACCTTGTCAAATCTCATAATTGGGTTGTACTTTGCTGTTAGTAAAGGAGCTGTTTTGTAGTCAAAAGGAACATGCATTCTCTAAAAGCAAATTTTAAGCTACTTGATCTTCCATGAGTATTTATTTGTTATTAACTTTGATTTTTTTTCTGACTTGCGGTGATCCTGCTTGAAATGTTTATATGATAAAGTTTGGATATGTAATAATATGCCTTTCTATCAGTGATTTATCAGCTATATTACAAAATCAGGTCTTCACTTTATAGCATAGAGTGAAAAATAAAATATATTAAACCTTTACATTTTCTAGTTGTTCATGTATTTAGTCTGTGTCTGATTTCACTAAGCAATTAAAAAAATAATTATCCTGTCTCTTAATATACTACACTATGATTTTTCCTCTTTAATAACTAACCCCATTGCGTAGGCACCAATGAAATGAGAACAGAGTTTTGTGTCTTTTGCAACTGTATCACATGTTTAAGTTTTTTGTTTTGTTTTGTTGTTTTGAATTAACAGCTATGGGCAATATTTTTAGAAGCTGTTTGTATAAAACAAAATTACATTGAACTGGACTTTGTTTTCAAGCGCTCTTTCTATAACCCTGAGTATTGATACCCCCTCATAATTCAAATTGTTCATTTGGAGAGTTTTTAAAAGATATTTATATTTTTAAAAATCTGATCAAGAGTACTGATCTTAAAGATGAAAACTTTATTTTTGAGTCACTATATGGAATATGATAGAAAATTTTTCTTGAATTTAGTGGCTGAAGTTTAAATATTGATTTCAGCATTATCTGGACAGCATAAAGCACCACCAGAGAGAATTTGTAAATTTTCAATTTGAGAGGGAAAAGAAACATCTTAATATATTGTTAATAATAAACATCACTAAAAAGTAGTGGCTTTTGGAGTGTCAAAAATAGGATACCCTTTCAATCCAGAATATGCAAATGTCTGTTTGCTCTTTAAAAATTGAATAAATTTAAAAAGTAAAACTTGGCAACAACAACTAAAAACCCAGTCATCCCCAATTCAAGGCACTTAAGATAATAATCTACATGAAATACACTATTATTGGTTATGTGCCTTGACTTTCATTTTTGTAACAGAAAACAGATTTGCACAGGTTCATCCACACTTCTTTCCCTATTGCCTCTTTGCACTTGCAAAACGTGTGCCCAAATTAGTAATGCAGTTCTGATCATAGACCAACACAAAGAGAAATGATTTGTGCAAATTTAACCCATGCTTTGGTTTTCATTAGTTTCATACTCTAAAACTACTCTATCCAATTGGCAAGAATATATGATGTCAAAGCACTTTTTTATTGTTAGAGAATAATTTTATATATTATTTTTCTCTTTCTAAAAATGCATAACTATTGTCACTTTTTAAAAAACTGAAGTTATTTATAGTGAGCTTCAGAAATCGAATAGTCACATGTTCTTCATTTAATTAAAGTAATATACAAATAAGTTGATAGACTGATGAGTGTATCATCTATAACTTAACAAGCAGTATGGATGAAAGAAAATGATTTTGGAAATAAGAGCTCAAATTCTGGCACATAAGCAACACATCCCTGTTAAGTTAGGTGAACTATGTATGAAAAAACAATTTGGAGTATTGCTGTGCAAGCAAGTCATTCAGCATGAATTTTAAAAAAAAAAAAACTTCATGCCAGACCTTGTACTGTGTATCAGGCCATTTATCTCCTGCCTGTTCCATGCCTCCAGAATTCAATAGCTATCCAAGCAAGAATCCTAAAATAAAAACAAGGAACTATTGAGCTGATTCATAAAATATTATTCAGTGACTCACATCTTCTTCAAAGATTTCAACTCACTCACTGAAGCAGAAAAGATCTTCAAGAATTCCTTTTCATCCTGAGAATGTGTTTAGGAACTATTTAAATAGAAATAAAATTCAAGGGATTCCAGGGATCAATTAGCAATTTGAATTGCAGCATTCCAGCAAAATGCTTAAAGGCTAAAATGGAGAAATAAAAAACTCTGCAAGAAAACAGTGCCCACACACCAGAAGCGCCTGAATTTATAGTCAAGAAAACATTCTGTCAAGACATGCTAGTCACTGTCACATAAATCTTGAAAGTCAGAGGTATATTAATGGGTCATAGTATTTTTCTAATCGCCTAAGTTGACGTTATGCATTTTTTGTAATTAAAGATACTTTCTTCATTTGCTAAAAAGAAGAAACAGCAATCAAGCAGCGGGTTCCTGTAAAATGGAGATAAAGTTTTCATCTTCTTTATCTTATCTGAGTTTTCTTAATGCAGCCTCCTCCGCGGCTTTTACTTGCCTTTCGCTCACATTTCTAGTAGCCTTGCATGAGTGTATTCCTTTCAGTTCTGGCTGCTCTTCAATGCTTGGTATCTCTTTAATTTGCTGTGCTGTTCTTGCAGAACATGTTTCTTCTAATGCCAGCGATAGCGAAAGTAGCTACCGTAAGTTACTGCTTTGGTTTGCGGTCCTTTTCTTTGCAATTGCCCCATTGCCTGTGGTGGTCATTTCAGATTTCTGTTGTTGTTTTTCAATTGCTACCTTTTATCATCTGTATTCAAAGCAAATGGCTTGAAATGAAATCACTGGATGTGGAAAGATAAAAAAGACACTAGAGCCATCAGTGGACCCTTATGTGATTTGTGCAAGCAGTAGTGGTCTTGCTAATAAACAATTACAACCCCAGTTGGTTGTGACTCAGTGATTCAATTGTCACAGAGAAGGTGTGTAAAAAGTTCAACGTGGTGGATTTTTACATTGTAACCCCCAAAATAATTGAAACTCTCAGCAGGAGGGTGGAAAAATCATCATGGTATTGTTTTCCTTCTTATTTTGCCATTTCCTTTCTGTTCTTGGCTCCCCTTCATAGGAAAAACATTGATAAATTAAGTGTTCCTTTAAAATCAGGTGTGAATCTTTTACATCACTTTCTCTTTGATTAATCATTTAAGGTAGAATACTATAACATTTCTGACTTTACTTTTTTGATCATTGGGGAACTGATGGAAGAGTTTCATCCTCTAATGTTGAAGGAACTTAATTTTTTTGATGTGACCAAGTCTTCTTAGATCAGAAAACTTAGCTGAAAAGGTAGGTAACTATTTAAAAGTTATTTCTGGTCTTTGTTTGGTCACCTCAAGCCATTTGCTTAGTGTATGAAAATATCCACCAAACACCAATCATATCCTTTTGATCAGTCCTCATGGTTTCTTACCACCTACTTACTTACTGGTTTTTGGTGACTAACATAGGTACATATTTTTACTGGGATTCTTACAATTTCTGTAAGATTAATTTATATTCCTTAGTGAAATGTTACCCAAAAAGCAGGCCTAATACATGTGACCCACAGATACTAAGGCAGAAATTGGTATTGTCTTTTGTTTGAATGAGTATTGTATTAATTGAAAACTAGAATTGTTTGAGGTTTTCCCCCCGATTATAGCATGGTACTTTACAAAACTACGCCTTTTTGAGGTGGAAGGCCAAATAGTGGTACAACACTTAATTTGGATTTTGAGAGAGGCTTTGGAAAATCAGAGGGGCGGCAAGTAGGAGAGGAAGCACAAAAAAGGAAAGATGGCAGATGGAGGTAGGCTTGGAGGAGGAAGATGATGTAGACAAAGGAATAAAATGAAAAAAAAATTGTGATGAGATATGCTTGATTAATCAAACATTATTAGACTGATGTAAGAACCACCTAATTTTCTTACTGATGAAAGTCTTATTGATAGAAGAAATTCCATCAATTCTTGCTGATGGAAGAATTCAAAAGGTTCTTGTTGTCAACACGGTAACATGACAACATTTTTACATTCTTTATACTTTTATAATTTTATTATTATCCTAATTTGAGACAAAATTTGCCTCCCCCCTTTTTCATTTTATTTTAAACCAAGAAACTAGGCCAAGAAGAATTGACCAAAGCTTGTGTTAATAACACCTAAGCTGCCCTCAATTTAGTATGTAGAAAAACATAACTTATTTTTTTGGGTTCCAGGAAGACCAATGACAGTAGTTTCCTTGATATTAAGTTTTCAATTTTCAAGTGTTGGGCTTCCACCCGGTTGACACAGGTACAGAAAGAGAAAGCATCATGCTTTATCTTTCAATTCTTTTAATGGAAAATATATACTATACAAGAACTACCTTTTCTTATAAAAATCACATTTTTATAGAATATTTTAAAGGCTTCTCTTCTCTGTTTCAGAGGTGGGAATATTTTTCCCAGAATTATTAAGTTATAAAAACTGGCCCAAGACTTTCAACTCTTTGACAGATTTTTGCAGTGATGTTCCAAGATGACATCACTAATTATTTTTACTCTCAAATACTAGTTGCACATAAATGTTTGTCGAATGAATAAAGGAAACACTTGCAGACATCTCCAATTATCTATGAGAAAAGAGAAGAGTTGGAACTGGATTCTATGACATTAGTAAGGCAAATATGGAATCTAATCATCTCTATTGGCTTGAGTTTCATCCAAGGTTATAGAAGGTCAGCCACTCAGTTTGGTTTCTTTACAAATGAACAAAAGTAAGAAGAGTCTTTATCACAGCTCAGAGGAGAAAAATGACATTTATTCCTCCAGAATGGAAATATGAAGAATTCCAGAGGAATGTTTATTTATTCATTTGGTACCTACTATACGTGAGGTCCCCTGGATACCATTAGACCCATTGTGAATATCAACTAACTCTAGATCTAAGCACACATAATAGTGGGAGAGATGTATAAATAAATTAAAAAGTGCACAAAATGTGACAGGTACTAAGATAGATGTCTGGTTCAAGAATAGTGGGAGCATAAGAGGTAGTTTCAGAGAGGAAGTAGCTTTGAGCTGAGCTTTGGAAAGTTGAGGAACTTACTAGCTAGACAAGATAAGGAAGGACTTCTCAGAAAGAGCATTGCCACGACAAAAGACACAGAGGTTTGGAACAAATATATTTTCCAGAAGGTACCAACTTTGAAGTCAAAATAGGCTACATTTTTCTAGTGAATTCCTGGCTTTTGCTGTAATTATGACTAAAAATAGTATAAACAAATACCAAAAGAAAAAAAAAAACCCTCTTTTCACCAATATCCAGGTGTTGTATTTCACTGTTATACTTTACTATTCCATATCCACTCTGGGGACAAAATGGCTAAATAATAATAATAATAATTCAGAGTTTGAAACAAAGACCTAGGCCATTGTGTTTCACAATCCAGAGTCCCCATTCACACTGTATCCTGGAGTTACACCTTATTGTTGCAACCTTACTTGAAAGTCTTATATGTTTCCTGAGGTATGCCACACACACACAGATACACACAAACATCAATTTCTAGTAAATAGTTCAGATCTTTCTGCATCATCTCAAGCATTATAAAATAGGTTTTCCAACTACATTTAACACCAGCTAAAATTGCAGTTGATAAAATGTACATTGTCTAATTGTGCAAAACACCACCTCAAAACTATCTTAATTGTGGACTAATTCTAGGTTTCTGACAATAAAGTAGTAAAATTCAGCCTTGTATTTTTGGCTGTTCTGTATCACACCTTACAATTGCCCTTGTATTAGGAGGTGGTAAATACTAGGCAAGTGTAATGAGGACTATGCAAGCTTCTAAAACTGAAGACATGCCTTCCTCAAAGCTCAGTAAAGCTCTTTACATCATCATGAATGTGTGCAAGCTGATAATTATCCTTCCAACCCATTAGTGCTCATCAGTTAAGTAGGATTTTCAAAACAAGGATCTTGAAGAACTGATCTGAGTGAAACTAAGGTGTTGAGATTGGGAGACCCAAAACTTCTCCACTGAAGTCAGTGAAAATGGTACATATTCTTCACCTTACTCTATTGTTCTCAACTATTGCCCTTAGATGTCTTTACTCCTTTAGTCTTTTTAAAGCAGTTTTTCATTACATCTATTATCTCATTTAATTTCTGCAACAAAACTATTAGACATGTTTTACATTAATACCCCCTTTCCATATGAGGAAGCTGAAGCTCCAAGAGGCTGCCTACCTTATTAAAGTAGTAGCACTGCAAATCCAACCAAGACCTCTTAATTCTGAATCCCATTCATTTTTCACTCTTCCCTGTAGTTTGTAATCCAAGCCTCTTGACATTTTACGTAGTAACTTTCGACCATTTCATACTACCTATAAAGTTAATGCAAACAGCAATATTTATATAACATTATGTACCAAGTCTGATTTTAAGGACTGTATGTATATTAAGTTCATCTTCTCAACATCCTATGGAGACAATTTGCCATTAATTTACTGTATGACCTTAAAGAAATTACTCAAAGTCTTTGAGACTCAGTTCTCTCCTATGTAAAATGAGTAGCTTGAATTAAAACAGAAATGGCAAATAAATTTTAATCAAGGTTGAAACTCTAACCAATTGGCAATAGCTGCCTGAAGAGTTGTAATGAAAAGTATCCTAAGGCCATGTTGAGGCTTAGCAGTAGTCCCGGCAATGATCAGTTTGTGATGGCTGTCAAGGTCATAGAGAGTAACGGTGTGTGGAACGCACTTGCCATCTATGAAGCACATGAACCCTAAGCCCTTTCTTAGCACTAACATTCTATGGCTCTAAGAACCTAATTAGTTCTTAAAAATCATCATATGCAGGCATTAAAAACTAAATTTCGAGCATTAAATGTACTGGCACTGGTCTTCTCTCCATCATCTCTCTTTTCTAGTTTCCAGGAATTCCTAAAGAACAACAATTTGCTTTTGTCTAGCATGAAGGCATACTAGGGTCTCTCATTGTGACTGGCTTCCAGTTTAAACACATAGTGTTTTGTGGAGACTGTGACAAAACCCTCTGCCAAGCCTCTGGCAGCTGCAGACATCCACACACAGCTCTGTGCTGCTCTCCCACTTTCAGCCATGCAGTTGCCAGAACAAAACCAAGAAATAGTTTGTACCTTTTTTCAGCTGTTATTTCGAAGTGCCAACCCCTCCTGAGTAGAAAATAGAAAAACACTTAAGGATGACTATTTTATGGGGATGACACAGCAGCAATAAAAAGAAAGAAAGAGAGAGACAGAGAGAGAGAGAGAGAGAGAGAGAACTTGTGTTTAGAGGCAGAGCACCTGATGGCCTCTTAATAACCCTGACCTGGTTTCAGCCCCTATCTCTCATTTCAATTTTTTGTTCATTTGTAAGCTTTACCTCAACACCCACCCACCCTGCCTCACAGAGAATTCTGCTTCTCTCACTGTTTCAAGACAGTGCAATATACTCCACAAGAATTGAAAAAGGTGTGATATTAAATCTTGACTCCACTACTTACTAGCTGAGGAATCAAGGCTCATTAACATCTCTGGGCCTCAGCTTCTTCATCTGTAAAATGGGGATCATCAGAGTACCTACCTCAAGCAATGGCTGTGAAAAATAAAAGCCAGTGAGTGTGAAAGACCCTCAAGGCCTGCAAATTGCCATAAAGACAGGATTTTTCTCTCCTTCATCACAGTGGCTTTTTCTCTTCTCCTTTGTCTCTTCCCCACTGCCCATAGGGCTTTTCATTCTTGGACATGGAAGTAAAAATTAGTTTAAGATGCTGAATTCACAGCAATTATGTCATAGCCACCTCCACGGGTTTCCCCACAGGCTTCCTGGGTATTACACAGTACCTGATTGCCACAAGGTCTTGAGAATTGGGGTGGCCCAGACATAAGGGATGCTGCCATTGCTGTCTACCAACACTACTGCTCTGAACCAGAACCAGTGCCTTTCATTAGAGAAGTAAACCAAGAAGCAATGGATAGACAGATAGAGAACTCTTGAACAAAATTAATCAAAGCTATGCTTTGTCCTAGTTTCCTGAATCACAATCATATATGCTGACATCAAATATCTTATTAAAGATTTGCCTTTAGAACGTTCCATCAGAATGATTTGCAAAGCCATTGGGAAGAGATTTTTATGGGAACATGGTGTGCTCTATTTATTTAGAGAAAACCATGCTTTCCAAAATTAAATGACCATATTGACAGAAACACAAAGTAGAACCTACCTTTGGCCTAATTGCTCATCCTGTTTCCCATGACTTAAATCAGAATGCAAATTTGTTGATATCTTTATGTTAAGCACTCAATGTGGCACTGGAGACACGGTGATGAATGAAACTCAGTCTTTACCTTTATGAAGCTCCCAGCCTAATCATGAAGTCCAAGAGTTACCTGACATTTAAAACTTTTGATATCCCATGGTCAGGATTCTTCCCTTGCACATTAATTGTTGAAGATGTCCCCGTAAAGTTATAGTCTAAAATTGCAATATTAGTCTACCATGCTTCTATCATTAAAACTATACTTTTTCCCCAAGAATTTATACACTTCTTTAATTGACCCACAGCATTTTCCTGATGAAATAATACTAAAATAAAACCTTGAATGCTTATACCCTCTACATAGCTCAGGCTTTAAATAACTGGGGGTTAGTAATCAATCACCTTCATGTTTTTTGGCCTAGGCTCTGTACATTTCAGTAGTTTATTCAAAGGGAATCATTCTTTTCTTGAGTACAGAAAATAATGAATCTGACTCCTCACTGACCAAACCCCTGACCAATATGGGAGAGTCCCCTGAACACTTCTGGGGTGGCCATGCGTAGATACCACTTAGGAGGAGCATCAAGGTCCATTCTCTGTACCCTTAGGAAGTAGCTTGCCGTGGTGGCGCCATTCTGAGCCCAAGCCCTCCTTGAGGCTGAGGTAAGATATGACTTCAGCCTGGGGCCATTTCTCACACTTGAAAAAGTAAGACACTCCTACCCTCATCCCATTCCAGCTACCCAGCCTCCAAGGAAGTCATCTGACTTCACAGCTATACCCACATATTGCTTAATTTTCCCAAATCAGTCATTATCAAAACAGTCAATGATATTAACTCTTCTTACGAAATTACCTCTCCTTTCCCTGGTGCTGTGGCTATTGAAGGAAGAGAACCTGGCATTGATAAACTATGAATGTGCTTCAGGGGTGGGCAGTGAGGATATACAGCAAAGGTGAATTGCCCTTTGGTTTCAGAAGTTACCTCATATTCCACTCCTGCTCCACTATCTCTTCTAGTAGACAGAAAGTTCTTTTCAACACCCCTAACCTATTGCCACTCCAAAGGTTAGTCAATGCAAATAAAAATGCAGACACTTCCGGGTTTGCAGCTGAAATTAAACTAATCCTCTGACCAATTAATTCATCAATTGTATAAAATAGATGATTGAAAAAATAAATACCAAAAACCAATTTACTTTCTATGGTTATTTGTTGACTTGAGGTCCACCCTGAATCAGAAGTCTTGTAGCAAATGACATTGGAGGGACCGACATTTTACTACTGTGTCTTCCTTAGTTCTTTATCTGAAGTGTCAAGGCATGGTTTAGCAGCAATTATAACGAATGATGTAGGACACTCCTCAATTTTTGATCTTCATTAATTGACCCACAGCATTTTCCTGATGAATTAATATTAGAGTAAAACCCTGAGTGTCCTGATGAAGTTTTTATATCATAAATTAAATAAGCATATACTTGCTTTTGAACAGTGTGCTTCTTGGGGAAATAAAATAGAAGACGAAATAAAAGTTACAGCAATTCTGATTATGTAGCAGCCAACTATTGAACTGGACCCTTTCCTTGAACTAAATGGCTTCCTTTTAAGTAGTAATGCTTGGTGTAGAGGCCATGGCATTCCATTCTCAATGCCAGACAGAAATCAGTCTCACAGGTCATTGCCCTGCAGCAAATAGCTAGCGACCAGTTATTACTTAGAGTTATGACTGTGAAAATCTGATACTAAAATAGTACTAAAGAGTTTTGCAAGGATGAAGGGATTTTTGAATGGCTCAAGGAGAAAGAGCAAGGAGAATTAACCCTGAGCTGTGTCTGTTTCCTGTGTTTCAGAGCAGGGCTTGTCTCTGTAATGTATGACTGAATGTTAGTTCACTGTGGTTTTCTTTTCTTCTCTTCTCAGGAGGACAAGAAGACCTCATTCTTTCCTATGAGCCTGTTACAAGGCAGGAAAGTAAGTTTCCCAGCACACTTTCATTCCTGATTTCTGGGACATAAATAGGTGACATCATTGAAGGAGGGAAAGAGTGAAGAACTAAGGAGAATAAACTCTGCTTAATACTCCGTTGTCTTGAGACCATACCCTTCTCTCTCTCTCTCTCTCTCTCTCTCTCTCTCTCTCTGTCTCTCTCACCCTATCACCAAACGAACAACTTCCCTGCTGAGTATGGGCAGTAATAGCTCCTAAGAGAAGGATGCAGCCCTCCAGATGAGTGGTCCTCAATGGGAAGGAGCACATTCAAATTACCTAAAGAGCACTAGCTATGAGACTGGTGAATAAAGTCTCCAGAGAGACTGATGTCAGCTCAGTATTGAGAAGGCCTTTCTAGCAGATCTGCCTAAGATATAGGCTATCTGTAAGCTGCTGCTTTTTCTTGGAGGCATTCATACAGAGGCTAATTGCTATTGACAAGGATATTGCAGAAAGAATTCAAGCATCAGATGGGGAGTTGTACACCGTGAACTTTCAGGTCCCTTCTAATCCCAGACACAAGGAAATATAGACACCATATCAAAGTATAGAGAGTATTTTGATCTGGGGAAAAGAAATCATGAAAACATAAGATGTTATTACTACTAACAATTACTTTTTATAGTCATGTCTAAACAATAGCTGAACAGCTGATTTGGATTCTTTCTTCTCCCACTCAGTTGACTAAATTCAGTTGTTTTGACATTATGTAGGCAGAGCCAGAGAGTAAGCAAAACTCCTCCAAATGTTTCTTTTCATTGACAGATACTGCAGTTGCCTTTCCCTGCTAGTAGATTCCAGAAAGTAGGCACTGCCAACCTCCTGAGTGTTAAACATCAATTTCCCTGTGCAAGGCTATATGAGTAATTTATCCAGTGAAGTAATGCCCTTAGCAGCTCTTACTGTCTGGCAGTTAAGAATCACCCTTGCAGGACAGTTTTGCAGTTGTTTCTAAGTCTTTCTCTTTATCTCCATCTTCCTTTCCCATTCTGCAGTAAACTATACCCGGCCAGTGATTATCCTGGGGCCCATGAAGGATCGGATCAATGACGACTTGATATCTGAATTCCCTGATAAATTTGGCTCCTGTGTGCCTCGTAAGTGTCATGTTTCTTTCCTCTAGGGGGAAAAAAAAAAGAGCTTGGATTATTTATGAGGTGGTAAAACGTAATTCCTTTCCTCCAGTAGTCTCTCCAGTAATTCAAATACCAACCATTTCCGATTAGCTGAGTGCCTTATTTAATTTCTTTGCCTAACACTTTTCATTTATGCTGCTGTGTGTCATTCTGTATTTAATAAAAATAATAATGTTTTCTCTAAACTGATTGTAGCCCCTTAAAAGGCATGATGAATCTTTGTGGCCCCCCCAACCATTTTAAACAGCATAGGATTTATGATAGGCATCAGTATGTTTTTATAGATTGATTGAAATGCCACTGAAACATTATTTTTTATAGGACAGAAGAGATCGGAAACAAAGCCATATATTAAAATCCTCTCAGGATGACTTAGGGCCGTATGTCAATCCCAAAACCCAACAGGCTTTCCCATGTTGACAGTCCCAGGTTTAGGGAGGATGAAGACAAGAAGATATATAACACTTCAATTTGACCTCTAGGCCATTACAGACTTTAAACTACTTTCTTCTCATTATAGATAATCATCAGGCTTCCTGGGCCCTCTGATTGTAGCCTTATTAGATTCTAACTGCTCTGCCTTCCCTCCTCCCAACCCCCTACCATACTTTCTCCACTCATTTATCCCATCTATACCCTGACTCTGTCACACAGAAATGTATGCAGACCTTCTATGTATGTAGATAGGTCCATCAGGAAATTTTAATTTATTAGATAATGGAGCTCTTACATCTGATACCAACAGATATTTCTCTTCCATTCTACGTATTTTAACACTTATGCTTTCAAGTGTCTCTAACATTCCAGTACTGCAAATTTTGCATGAGATACATAAGAATAGCAGGAATTGTATGTGTCCAGTACATGACCAAAAGACTAGGATGATTGCTGTATCTCCTGAAACAATTCCCAGCAAGGGCTCTGGGAAGAGATCCTGCCATAGAACATATCCTGAGAAAGTCTTCAGATAGGAAGGAGCAAATGAAACTCCAGGTCGTTTACAGCAGCTTCCAGTTTGCTCTTCCACTTTTGAGGGAAATAAAACAGAAAGTACTCAAGCATTCTTTCCACTTTTCCTTTCACCTTGTATATTCTTTCTCTTTTTTTAAATTAATAGAATCATTTTATGATAGTCAATATGTGTTCATTTTACAAAACTTGGAAAATGCTAAAAAGGAAGTTAAACAAGAAAATTAAAAGTACACAAAATCCCACACAATACCCAGAGATAACATCATTGTTAATATTTGTGTACATTTCCATCTATTCTTTCTTTATATGCATGCATTTTTCCCTGTGATTGAGTATTTTTTGCTTATTTAAAATTTTATATAACTATTTCAAATGAGTATTATATCACAACTAATCATTCTTTATGAACATTTTGGTTTTTTCCTATTTTTCACTATTATGAATTATAATGAAAATACCATTGTAATTGTGTTATAATTATTACTTATAAAATAATATAATGAATATCTTTAAGGATAAATCTGTATCTGAAGTTTTGATCATTTTTATAAACGTATTTCTAGGAGAAAAATAAGTGAGTCAAAGATTTAAAATATTTTAACAGCTTTTATTCCTTTTGCTGGGTTGCTTTCCCCTTCTTTTCTTACCGAAAAATTTAGGTGAAGTGGTTAGAGTTGCTGATTTTTAGTCCTATGTTAACTGCAATTATCTTATTTTATGTATGTTGAGGTCTGAATTTTATGTTCCTTTACAGAATATTAAGTTTTTGTTCTGGCAGGTGATAATTTACTGACACATCAGCTTCTTCCGTTTGTGATATGGTTTTCACTTTGTGAAGATGGGTGTAGAGTCAGTCTAGAGTAACCTTTTAAAATGTGGCCTTTCTGGGATCTCCATGGGTTCTGACTGAACTCCGGTGTCTTCTAGCAGTGAGTGATGTCTAAACTGTCCATTTGGAAATGGCCTCTAGGCAGAGAGGTGGGGTGAATCCTCTCTCATATGTTTCTCTTTTCTCAAAGATTACAGCGCTGTACTTCCTGTTGTCTGATGCCTGAAAACAGTTATTTCATATATTTTGTCCAGTTTTTTAGTTGCTCATGATGGGAGGGTAAGAGCAGTACCTGTTACTATGTCATAGTTCTTCCTACTACATATATCTACATATCAATGTTGAGGATGTGGTGGAGAATATAGGTGTAAAGCAAGTTTATGGTATAAATGCACCTTAATTTTATTATTTTTTATTTTCTAAAGATACTACGAGGCCAAAGCGAGACTACGAGGTGGATGGCAGAGACTATCACTTTGTCATTTCCAGAGAACAAATGGAGAAAGATATCCAAGAGCACAAGTTTATAGAAGCCGGCCAGTACAATGACAATTTATATGGAACCAGTGTGCAGTCTGTGAGATTTGTAGCAGAAAGAGTATGTTCACCAATCTTCTTACACCTCCCCTGACGAAGGTTTCTAGGTTGCAAACTGCATTTTTTTGGTCATTACCCTTTCTTGATTGCAATTGTAAATTTTGATTAAATAATTTAAGACATCCAAGGAGAGAATCACCTTAGAGCAATGTCATTAATCTTTGTTCTAATTTCAACAAAGTGTTCTCACTGACTGGAAAAAGTAGGAAGGGGGTTGGGGGGATATCTATAAACCTAAAGGCAATTAACAGCTTGAAGTTTATGAGGATTCGCTTTGTCTTTGACTCACTATCTGAGGCCCCAATAAACAACCTAGATTTTATAAAGGCAGGTTTACTACTTTGGTTGTAAACGAAGGGGATAGCATTCCTGAATTCTTTTGTTCTAGAGGAATTTATTTTTTTTCTCTCTCTCTCTGAAAACTTGGCATCCTCATGGTAGAAGAGAAGATAGATGAGAAGGGCTGCCCAGCCCGTTGCTCAAAGAAGTTCTAGCTTAGAGGAGGTGTAGATGCTGCAATTCTCTTCTTGCTGGTAACTTCACAGGCATGGAAAAGAGAAGAATGTTCAGGAGAGGGTAGGATAGGAAGGCACCTGGGTGTGGCTATACAGTCTGCCTACAGAGGGATCCTATCTCCTGTGAACACAGAGAACCAATATCGTAGGAGAAGATATTTGTTGGATTGATTTAATTTGCCATGACATTTTTCAGTGTACTGCTAAAGAATTAAACAAGTAATTTTGATGTCTATCTAAGAATACACTAAGAAGTTGCATCTATTTTCTTTCCTCCCTCTCAAAAGTTCAGTTCTATCAACTATATAAATACTGGTTCTAGTCAAACTGTCCTGGATAATTGCATCTATTTTCCTCTTTGTTCATGTCGTTAACTTGAAATATTCTGACTGGTGAATAGTCATCCGGCATTTATACATGTTACATGGCTGCTGCACTTCACAGATAGAAAACTTGAAATCTATTACCTAAGTAATAATGGCTTGAACCATCTTAGTGGGTTTCTCATATAAGAAGAGTTCAAGTATTCACTGGACTGTATTCATTTTCATGTGAACATTATAGATGAGATTTTAGCCCTTATTATTGATTTAGGATTGTTCCTACCTGCATAAAGTACCTTTTTTTCTCTTCTTGCATAAAGTTATTCTAGCCTCAGGGTAATGAGGACATTTCTCTCCAGGAGGTAGAATATGATGTGGCAAATGTATCTGCATTTCCAGAAATGCTTTATAAAGCAGCTCCTTGCTCTGGGCACTCATTGCGGTGGAAGCCAAGTTAAATGAGGTGTGCTATAATGTAATAGCATTTTTATTTGTTAACCAACAAGAAATTTACATACCTCATGCAAGCCTTTCTCTCTTGGCATTTAACCAGCATTTAATTTATTCATTCATATATATATATATATATATATATATATATGAATGAATGAATATATATATATGTTTGTTTTTGTTTTGTTTTGTTTTTTTGAGATGGAGTTTCACTCTTATTGCCCAGGCTGGAATGCAATAATGGTGCAGTCTCGGCTCACTGCAACCTCCGCCTCCTGGGTTCAAGTGATTCTCCTGCCTCAGCCTCCTAAGTAGCTGGGATTACAGGTGCCCACCACCACGCCTGGCTAATTTTTTGTATTTTTAGTGGAGACAGGGTTTCACCATTTTGGTCAGGCTGGTCTTGAACTCCTGATCTCAGGTGATCCACCCGCGTCGGCCTCCCAAAGTGCTAGGATTACAGGCATGAGCCACTGCGCCCAGCCAACCATATATTTAAGTTAACTAACCATTTTTGTGTCTGTCCTCCACTAGATTGAGCACATTGCAGATAGGATACATACAAGCGCTTGGAAAAATTCACATTGTTCTCAATCTTCCACATTGAATGTTGGGCAGGGTGAGACAATGAAGTGTCTATTTTTTCCAACCAACAATTCTGTTAGTGCTCAAGACTTGGGTTTGCATGCTCCTAGCACTAGATTATTCAGTAAGTTAGTTAGTGTGAGTCTTCTATAAAATGCAGCTGATAATACCTACCTCAGAGATTTGGGGATTTCTTCTTGACAATTGTCTTCAGAGATGGTTTTTAAACTTCGTAAGAATAGACTCAGTCACATAACATGTGGCTGCATGTCATCTTTGTGTGTTACATCAGGTATTTAACTGAGAGAACACATGTAAAATGTCTAGTCCAGTGGCAGACACTTTGTAAGGGGCTACTTAGTATTAGTTATTGTAAACACTCAATGATCAATTTTTATTTACTATATATCAATTTACTATGTATTGATTTTTACTATATATCAATTTACTGTGTATCAATTTTTATTTACTCTTTGCAGTGATCTTTTTCTCACTTTAGAAATCCAGCATCCCCTACCTTCCTCTAAAACCTACATACATTAGTTTCCTTTTGTTGGATTATGGCCATGTTTTCTATATTAACTTCATATTTTTCTTCTCTTTCTACCAGGGCAAACACTGTATACTTGATGTATCAGGAAATGCTATCAAGCGGTTACAAGTTGCCCAGCTCTATCCCATTGCCATCTTCATAAAACCCAGGTCTCTGGAACCTCTTATGTGAGTAGAGGGCATTGGAGGCCTTCATCCAACTAACTCCCTGTTCCATATTGTACTGCAAATTACTAACAGGACTTTGCTGGGAATTCTTACAAATGGGAAATGCCATTGTTGATTTTTCAGCATTCTCTTTTTTTAAAGATACATCAAAGTTTTTTAAACCACTAGAAACATAATGTCAGTGATTTCTTTTTTTCACACCCCTCATTTTAACAATAATGGTAATTCCTTAAAACATTTTCAGTACTGTTTCCTGATTTTTATTGTTTTACTTCACAGGTTGTTTTGTTTGTTAGTTTTTGTGGGTTTTTTTGTTGTTGTTGTTTTGAGGATAGCTTGGCTTGGTTTGGTTTTTTGGTTTGCTTTTGTTTTCCAAATGATAGAAAGCAATCATTTTTTAATTGTCTCATGCTTCTGAGGCAGGTCCATAAGTAAATCTTTTTAAATATGTAGATTTTTTATAGAGAGAGCAGACAACATTTGAGACTTTTTTCATTGGCATTTTCCTTGGTTCTATAATAGAATTCTAATGTTCCTTAATTAAAACTTTACACACGTAGAACATTGTTCTTTTAATAGAGTTTTCTTAGTGGCATGGCAGTAAAACATATGTAACTTAAGCCAGTAGCTTCATACCTGTGCACTCAGGGTTTTTTCTTGTTTTTCTTGTTTTTTGTGTTTTTTTCTCCAAAGGACTTGTGAAATAACTTCTTTCAAAAATCATTAAACAAAGTAGGCAGACATTCACGATCTGACTGTAAAGTTAGTATAGGCAACTCCCATTCACAAAGGTGAAGCTAAGAAGGGGCTACCAGCAGGGACCTGAAAATTGATCAGGCAAGATTTGGTTCTTTGCTTTGCCACTGATCAGTTAAGTAACCTTGGGCAAATTGTTTGACCTTTCTAAGATTTAGCTCCTCACCTCTAAACGAGGCACACTAATAAATACCTCATAGAGCTAGTATAAAGGTTAAATAACAAGGTTAGGAGTGTAGTAAAGCTGTTCATATAGTCTTTGGCATACGGTAGGTAATAAACATAATACCCATTATTATAAAAGATATAAAATTACTTCATTATTAAGGAATAAAACTATTTTATCATTATAGAACATATAAACAGCACCACTTCCATGACAGTGCAAGAGATAATGCCAATGTGTCTGTCATAAGGGCCTTGATCAAATATTGCCTTCGTCTAGGCCTCAAGACCATAGTGTTTGACAGAGTTCAGGAGTGAACCACAGAGTACTGGAAAACAATGTTTATGGAAAGACTGAAGAAATGGAAATTGTTTAATCCCAGTGGTGAAAGCAATCACTTGCAGAGGATATTAACTAACTGTTCTGTGTCTCCTCTGAAGACAAAGAAGCAAAGCAAACTGCAGCAGCTGGAATGGCAGCCTGAGAGAATTAAGTTAAATATGTAGTTGAGCTCTGGGGAAATTGCCAGAGATGTGTCTTGAAAGCAGAATATAGTCCCATAAACAAAAAATGGACAAGGATTCTTACCAGGATAAAAAAAATAAGATCGAGAGGTCACTGACAGTACCTTCAGCCCCATGAATTTAGGTATTAAATTATAATATAAAGAGTTTTTCCCATGGCTGGCACATGGAAAAATATGTAATAATGATAAAATAATGATTCTTAATATTATCATCCCCAACAACACGTATTAAATTTTTCGTTATATAGGATACTGTGTCGGGCATAGAACAAAGTGAATTAAGCAAGTACAAATTTCATAATGTAAAATTGATTTATAATCTGTAAAGAGCCTCATAAATATAAGTAATGCTAATATTAATAAGAGAAGAAAAATAGTCCTTACCTCCTGGGAACAGCCATCTTAAAGGCCTGTTTCAGAAATAGAAAAATAAATCTTCATATTGTAAACACTTAGTGGGATAAATGGCTTCCCAGGGGAGTGAGGCCTGAGGGAATGACAGCAGTGGCACATTTGGTCCAGTGCGATATTTGGAGACAGTCCCATCTGGCACTCCATAGGAGAAGGTCTACTGCCTTCCACAACTATGAGATGACTTATTTTAGTTATGCCTTAGGGCACTGTCACAGCCACTTATCACCAAGGAAAGTTAAACATACTAAAGGCTGGATTTCACAATGAGGACAGTGAATCTGACATAATTTGCTGCAGCCATATTCATGGGTCTTAAGCGCAGTGATGGTGACATTCAGACCAATGCAATCTAACTATTAAATGTTGGATGTTTACTTTACAGTTCACTCTTTTCCAAGGCTTTTACTCCAGGAGCAAAGCTGCCATGAATTGCCCATTCCCCAGGGAGGAGTGAATGCTAGGTCAGCCGGAACAAAAGCATGGCAGCTGTCACATTTACGCATTGATACATCATCACACACATTATTTCTCAAGTGCATCATCCACGTCAAATCACAGAGCTTATTAGCACATACATAGCTGACTTTTCAGAGGAGCATAAAATCAAGGATGTGTATGAAAGGGATGTTCTTTTTATATTGTGCCACCATCTGACTTCTGTTCCCTTCCCACGTGGTAATGTCTCTTCACCCTGTCACTTCCGGTCTGCTTTTACCTTCCTGCTCCCATGATGCTCTGTGTTTACTTCAGTCTTCAACTATCTTACAATATATTTATTTATCTAGCTCCCCATTTGTTCATTCATTCATTCATTTACTCACTTATTCATTCAACAAATAAGTGTTGAGTCAGACTCCATGCCACATGCTGACAAACAAGCCATGGTCTTCACCCTCAAAGAATTACTGATCAGTCAAGGAGACAAAATAAATTCACAGGTTAGAGGATAAAAACCTAAACTAAGTTATTGCTATAATCAGTAAAATGGTAATTCAGAGAAGATGGAATTTTTGGCAGTCAAGTCGAAGAAGATCCAGAACTACATGATTTCTTTTTTTGAGACAGGGTCTCGCCGTATTGCCCAGGCTGGAGTATAGTGGTGCCATCATGGCTCACTGCAGTCATGACCTCGTGGGTTCAAGCCATGTTCCCTCCTCAGCCTCCCAAGTAGCTGGGACTAAAGGCATGTGCCACCATGCCCAGCTAATGTTTGTATTTTTTGCAGAGACAGGGTTTCAGCATGTTGTCCAAGCTGTTCTTGAACTCCTGAGCTCAAGTGATCCACCTGCCTCAGCCTCCCAAGGTGTTGGGATTATAGATGTGAGTCATTGTACCTGGCCCACGTGATTTCTTGACATCTGGAGCAAATATCTTTCTCTGAAGGGCAGCCCTTGGTTTAGCCCAGCATCTTCTCCACCCACAAGTAACATCCATTCACAGCATGTAGGGCTGAGACTGTTTGGAAGAAAAATTATACATACTCCCCCTCAGGACAAGATGAGTTTAGCAACAAGAGTTCAGGAAATTCCCACTTCTTTATATTTTAGACATTAATGTCTAACATCAATATTTTGGTTTTTTCCAAATAAGCCTCTTTTGAAAGATATCAAGTCTTTGTATAGTAGGAAGTCTAACTAAAAATTGGTTTAAAAAACCAAAACCTTGAGTTCTTACCCCAGATTACTATTTGTTAAATACACAGTCTTAAGCATGTCCCTTCCTGCCTCCGTTACTTGCTCTGGAAAGGAATTGACTAAGGCCAGATGTTCCAGACCCAGATCTCTGGCTTCTTAAGCAGCATGCAAGACAGTAGTGATTTCAGAAATTCTACGTGCACCTGTGATGCATCCTGATCAGCCAAGCAGATTGCATTTGACTGAACTCTTTTTTTAAAAATACCTGGAAGACCTGGAAAGATAAAGCTACCAGTAGTTAAGAATCAATAGATTAGGTTTTAGAGAGAATTCAAGAATTTTTCATTTCTCTCCCACCTTGATTTATCCTTGAGACTTTTAAAAAATTTTATATATAATAGTTGTACATATTTTTGGAGTATATGTCATATTTTAATACCTGTATACAATGTGTAATGATCAAATCAGGGTAATTGGAATATCCATCACTGGAAATGTTTTGGGAACATTACAGTTCTTCTCTTCTAGCTATTTTGAAATACTCCTCTAACTGCATTTTATACCCCTTAACTAGCTTCTCTTCATCTCCCCTCCTGCCTTCCCTTCCCAGTCTCTGATAGCTACCATTCTACTCTCCCACGTTTCAGAGAGTCTGACATACACTAGAACAAACTCCAAGAAAGGGTGACCAGGAAAGTTCAGGTTTAGAAATCACATCAAATGAGGGGATAGATGAAGCAATAGGACAGTTTATTCTGAAGAAGTAGAAGCCTCAAGACACACTTAAACACTTTACTGAAATATCCTAGGGCCTACCATGGTGGATACTAGGTCCCTGCAGAACAGGGACCAGTGACTGCAAATCATAAGGAGACATATTTGGCTTTAATCCAATGTGGGAGCAAGAGACTGCCCTTTGAGAGAATGAGCTTTCTGGCCAGGAGTCCTTGTTGCTGAAATTATTCCAGCACAGAGGAGTCCTGAATGAAGACCAAAAAGCTGTTGCTAAGATTACACTATGCTTTCTGTAGGATTTATTTTTGCCATATATTTTAATTTTTTAGGATTTGGAATATTCCCTTTATGTTCTAATACAAATCCTCATTTTCCCAGGGAGATGAATAAGCGTCTAACAGAGGAACAAGCCAAGAAAACCTATGATCGAGCAATTAAGCTAGAACAAGAATTTGGAGAATATTTTACAGGTAAGTTCACTTTTACCCTGGTAGTGTGAGAAAGGGGATAAATTGTCTGACATTTGGCATAGAGAGGGCTCTGGGCCTGGTGTACTTGTGCCCTAAAACCTTCCTGTTGAGAATCCCTAATATCTGCTTCATTCACAAGGAGTCTCCCTCTGCTTCACCCATTTTGACGCAAAGCCCTGGGTTCTCCTGAGAGTTCAGCTGCAGCCAGCTCCCATGTTCCCACCAGCCCTACCCAAAACCATGCACAGCGGATGCCCCTGAGCTGTCTCCTACCATGAAAAGGATTTTAGGCATTGCTACCTCATTAAACTATGTCCCCGATGTCATCAGAAAACTTGAAAAACGAAATTTTAGGGCTCAAAATGGTCAGTGTCCAAAGCAGTTACTCTTGAGAAGCCTGGAGGCCTCCGTTTCCTGCTCCATGAGCTGTCGTCAGTGTCCCCATCACCCATCAGCAGCACATGAACAAGATGCTTGAAACTCTTCCTCATGTTTCAGTTCACTGTGTCATGTCTCAACCAAAAGCGGTTTTTATTTTCTTTTTAAATGTTTCCTTGGAAACATGAAGTTAGGGGAATAGAGGTTTTTATTCTCCTGGATGGCCTGAGTTCTGAGTTCTCTATTCCTATATGCTTTCATAGAACACTGAGTAATCAGACTTTGTGAAATTTGCCTTACACCTGGTTCTCAGTGTTTTAAAAACAAGAACTTTCGAGCTGGGCACAGTGGCTCCCTCCTGTAATCCCAGCACTTTGGGAGGCAGAGGCAGGTGGATCGTCTGAGGTCAGGAGTTCGAGACCAGCCTGGACAACATAGTGAAACCCCATTTCTACTAAAAATACAAAAATTGGCTGGGTGTGGTGGCGGGTACCTGTAATCCCAGCTACTAGGGAGGCTGAGGCAGGAGAATCGCTTGAACCTGGGAGGCAGAGGTTGCAGTGAGCCGAGATTGTGCTACTGCACTCCAGCCTGGATGACAAGAGTGAAATTCTATCTCAAAAAATAAAAAATAAATAAAAAAATAAAACCCAAGAACTTTCTTCCTGGATTGCCATATGTGAAGTTAGATGTTTTATTTTTTACTTCATTCAGAATATAGAAAGTGTCAATGTCTTAGCAGTTTGTAAATATCTTGAATCAGGTAATATTAAGTAATCTTTCTGTCAATAACCAAGATATGAGCTATGTTTCGTCCTAAAAGAACATCCAGGTAGGAAAAACAATCAAAACAGTGTACATTTTGACAGTGGTTTATATTTGGTATACAATACAATAATTAATATATTCTGAGGATTGTTTTTAAATGCCTAAATCATCTTTCAGTAGTAATTTATTTTTAAGACATAGTGTCATATGAATAATATTGATGTGTTTTGGAAATCTTTCTACAAGATAGTTTTGTTCAAATGAGACAACAAAATGTACTAAAATCTACTCCAAGTGACTTAGTGTTTTAGGAAATACACAACTGATCAGTTTGTTTATATTTCTTCCTGTTTATGTTCCTTATAAATAGTGGACTGACGGTATTCTCGATATTAATAGCCCTGTATGGTAAAATCTCAATTTACCAGAGATATCGGGAATGATTGGGTTTTCCTATTAAGGGCTTTGAAGGTTGGGAGGTTAACTAAACTTCCTTCTAAAATCTTTATTATTTCCTCGGTGTCTACAATATCTGAATTTCTGCTGCTGCCAAAGTAAGTAAATATAGACACTGTAAGGCCAGTTTTCTTTTCTAAATAGGGAGCTCTCAGTCTGAAAATGGATCAATGCCTAGCTCAGTGCCTGGCTCAGAGTAGGCACCCATAAAATATTGGTTAAATAGATGAGTGATTCATTGTCCAGGACTACAGACAGACATGTAGAAAGTGCAAAGACTGTGATGCATTTGTTACTGATCCAGGATATCCATTGAAAGCATTTTTAAAAATCATGAATGTAACTTTGCTAATGTGAATTCTCTGCTTTTTCTTACTAATGAAAAATGATATGAAGCTTCCTGATGAGTTGTCTGCTACTGATCTGAGCCTCCAATGTGTGAGTGATGATTGTTCTTCACCATCCGGGAAATGATTTCTAATTCTGGATGTTTGCTTTTGTTATAGCTATTGTCCAAGGAGATACTTTAGAAGATATATATAACCAATGCAAGCTTGTTATTGAAGAGCAATCTGGGCCTTTCATCTGGATTCCCTCAAAGGAAAAGTTATAAATTAGCTACTGCGCCTCTGACAACGACAGAAGAGCATTTAGAAGAACAAAATATATATAACATACTACTTGGAGGCTTTTATGTTTTTGTTGCATTTATGTTTTTGCAGTCAATGTGAATTCTTATGAATGTACAACACAAACTGTATGAAGCCATGAAGGAAACAGAGGGGCCAAAGGGTGGGACAGAAAAGACATTGCAGTATGAAGGAAGGCTTTGGTTTGCTCAAAGTTCCAGGTGTAGGGATGAACCTCTGACGGGCTTTCTGCCCAAGAGATGAGAGCCTCCTCACCCCAGTTGATGTCCAGAGCTGATTTAGCTGCAGAGCTCTCTGTGTCTTTTGCTTTAAAGAAAAATTGCCAGCACTCGAACCTCACCAACCTTCCCATTACCCACATCTGTAATTGGTACACTTCGAATTTTATAACTATGCACATCTTTTGATTTCTTAACAAGCAAATGAAAGAAAGAAGGAAAAAAGAAAGGAGTCCCTTTGGAGACGACATACTATCAGGGAAGGATAAGTGTGTAGTTTTTTGACTGGCATCTGCAAAGACAAGCATTTCATAAAATTTGCAAGTGTATGGAGGACTAACCTCACTGACAGGAGGGGATTCCACCTGGAATTAGCTTTATGATTGTTGATTGCCTATTTTGCCATTTATAAACTGAAAGAAGGCACTAAAGATGAGAATAATTTATACAATAAAAATATATTAAATGTATAGAAACAAATTTCTATAGGTTAAAAAAGTTTTGTGAAATATTTTGTAAAGACTAATATTGAAAGACTAAATGTATGCAACATCAGCAGATGATCAAATTCAAGAACTGAAAGTTGCACTCTCCCTTTTGTTGCCAATGATCCATTAAGAGCATCTGAGTTCCTTTCAAGTCTGACAAAGACTTCTTCCTCACTCACCTCCCTTCCACATTAGTGATACACTCTCATGGAGCACATCCCTTAATGAGTTGCCCTCATGGATATTTTTGGAAAACATTTGGTTAATGCATTTTTTTATGCTGATGGCTTTTCAGAGACAAACTTATGCAAATGATCTAAAGGGAAGAGTTTGCTTTTCTCTAGTTAAATAACCTGAGCCTGCCATGCAAATAGTTGAATAACTTTGTTCCTAGTTACTGACATACAATTCTTAAAGGACCATTTAGCATTTTGTCCAACAATGAGTAATTAGGATTAGTACTTTTTTGTTTTACAGAGTAACTGAGAGTTTTGTAACATCCAGAGATGGTATTAGAGCCAACGGGAGATCTGTTCCTAGATGCACTATTTCTTTGAGGAAGAGAGAGAAGAGAAGTGTCTGGTTGGGGGTGAGGGGTGCAGACTTTTTTGTTTCTATGTACAGGGCAAAGAGATAGAGTCACAAGGAAAGACAATTAATGACTTTGAGCTCAACCAATTGAACTGCCTTTCTTGGAGCTGCACCTGGACCAAGTTTATTTTTTAACAATTATAATAATGATGATTTAAAAAAAGAAACCTCCCAAAGCCTATAAACTGAACTAGAAGAGTTAGTTTCCCACTTTAGAGTGGATGGCGACATCAGCATTGCTTTTGCCCATGATGTTTAGAGAGAGACTTTTCAGTGATAATAACCACTCTACTCTGGGTTCTGTGCATGCCCAGACTAAGCCCCATCGCCTTATTTCTGGGGTACATCCAGACCTGGCAGGGATTCTGCCACACTGTGCAGCAAACCAGCATGTAGGCTGGGTAGGAGAGCAAGAGATAGAGCCATCAGTGTGATGGGGCTTCTTCACAGTAAGAACATCAGAGCTAGAATGAGAGTCTCTTTCCAAAAACAGGCATTGTTCATCTTACACTAAACATCATTGTCTGCCTGGCTGCAGTCAGCAAAACAAACACAGAAATGCAAAATTATGCATCTTCCCATAGTCTTGAGGCTTCCTTTGCCAATGGAAGGGCTAGCAATGCATTTACCCTCTCATGAAAGTTAAATTTCCAGAGACTTCCTTAGATTGCTCAAAATGTTAAAGATATGTCCATGTCTGCAATTCGCCAGTTTCAGGTCAAGGCCTACTTTCATCAATATTGCTCCCAGAAGTTTTCTGCCACCAGAATGCCATTCCTGATCCCAGCTCTATTTTTAGGCCACCATGATAACTTCTTTGGTTTCTCAACTGAGCATGCAACCATTTATTTAAAAGACTGTCATTAATGAGTAGATGTTTTTGCGGGTCATGTGATGTGCTTTCCATTTACTAGTATTGCTGTGGCTGAGTACAATCAAATTGAACCACCAACCCTTGGTTTTGTAGTAATATAACTATTTATTTTCCTAGTGTAGATGCTTTCAGATTAGAATTGGCATTTGCACTGATTTTTTATGTAGATTTATATAATTATATAGATACATATATATTTGCTTGAAGAATCACCAAGCAAATTGGTGAGAGGGTCTTTTCCTATAGAATTTACACCTCCATTTGTTGTGTTGTCTTGCACTTCCCAATGTTGATGTCTCTATGGCTCCAATGAACTGGTGTATTTTGCAGCAAATCTGATGACTTGTATGGAAATGGCATGAAAGTTACCCAGATTACATCTGGTGCAAATGCACTCGGAGCCTGGGGCCAGACTGGTGCTAACACTGCAAACTTTGTCCAGAGCTCTCTCCAACCTGAAGGCTTGCTGGGGGTGCAATGTCACCTTCACACATGCTGGGCCCTTTCAGAAAAGTGCCAGATCGTGTAACTGGTGCTATTTTTCATGCTCTGGTACAATGTGTAGCACCACGGGGCTCTCAGCTTTACCAAAATCAAAATTCCATTTGTCAGCTAAGTGCAGAGGCATTCGTTTTTTGCTCTCCTCCCACAGAATTGTTGGCCATTTATTTGCAGGCCTTTTGCGGGATTTCTTGGCCGTTTATTTGCAGGCCTTTTCTCCCAGCCCCAAATTCTTGGGTTGGCTCTGTCTGCTTAAAGAGCCTGTCTTTACAAAGCCGCACTCGGGTGCCTCTGTGCGCTGTCTTAGATCCTACTGCCAGCCCTTCAGGACTCCGAGCCAGGAAAGAACTCTCCAACCTCTGGCTCGAGACTCTGTTTTTTTTCTCATTCTTTTCCTTGCTCTCCTCCTTCTTCTATTTCTGACTAATTCCATCTCTCTCTCTTTTGTTTTTTTTGTTCCTCTCCTTTTCCTATTCTTCCTTCCCACCATCTCTGAGTTGTTGACTTTCTCCTATAATCCTTCTCTATTCCTTTTCTCTTTTTGTCCACCTCTCCTTCAGTCTCTGTTTCTTTGCCCTTCTTATTCCTCTTCTGTCCTTTCTCCTCTCCTCGCATCTCTGATCATCTTCTCCTGCACATCCCTGTATTGATTTTTCTGTCCTCTAAAGGGCTCATGGCTGATTCAGACAGCAAGTCCGTGCACTGGACTAATGACACAAATACTTTAGGTCGCCGTTTCACCTACTCAGCCCAGAAAGCAAAGCTGAGCCTGAGGCCCTGACCTGGAGCCTGCTCCAGCCCGCCTCCCGGATCCAGCCTGCACCGTTGCCCTGGCAGCGATGATGCATGTGCTGTGGGCCCTGCCGGCGCCTGAGTGCCTCTGCCTGAACGCTGCTCCTAAGCGAGCCCACTCCCAGCACTACCGCATGGCTCTGAGGACACTTCCTTTCAATAAAGGCAGACTCTGGCCCCAATTATTCTGACAGCAAACCTCTTCCTCCTCATTGAAGCCATGCCATCACCTTGGTTTGGAGAGAGACATTTTTTTCCCATTCATAAGCTTTCTTTTTCCCATTTTCATGTGAAGCCCCTTCGGCTTTTCAGCTGGTGATTGCTCTGGTGAGACTGAATGGACTTGCTGGTGAAATGAAATCTCTTCTTTCCTGTCTTGGTCCTGCCTAAATTCCTACAAATATATTTAAGTCAAGGACTCAGGCTAATTCCTAAGTTGATCACATTAATTTGTCACTCCTAGGGGGAAAAAGATCAATTCCCTTGAAGCATATGGAGTACCTCCTGTGACAGCTGACTTGCCAGGGGACTCCCTACAGAATTCTGTGATACACATTTTACTTCTGTGTATGTATGGTATATATGGTATGTATACCATGTACACACATGTTACATTGAGTATGAATGACTGTGGTTGGAAACCCACACACACACTCAAGTCTGTAAATATCCTTCCTCACTGAAACCTGTGCTTTGGAAATCATTTCTTGTACAGCTGTGCAGTTTCTTGTAACAGCTGAGGACAAAGCTAAGGCAGGCGGACAATTTAGACAAAGATCATCTAAAGAGTACAGTATCTCCCTAGCAACTCATGAGGACAGACAACCGAGTGGCAAGGTTGACTCCCAATGGGATGGCAGACTTTTCTTCTCTCCTTTTTGAGTTTGTGTTTCCTAAGTGTTTCTTAACTTCTGAGTGCACCAGGCTGTACCCGTTAGATCCTTTCAATATGACAGTTTTGTGCTTCTCTCTGACAGGATGTTTCTCCATCGAGCTGTAGTGCAGGATGGGAGGGAGGTGGGAATACTCCTTGCCTGGGCTGGAGTTTACAGAGACACTGCACAGCTTACACTCCTGTTAAGTGTAAATATTCAACACTTCCATTCCATTTGTGTAAAAAATAAAGCACACACGATTATAAAATCAAGATGTATATTTCATACTCAGTGTGTCTGTGCATATTTATTGCGTTTCTGGTTGTCAGTGGTGGGTGGTCCCATTGTAAAAATGCCTGATAGAGTGTTTATAAACATGTCATGGTTTTATTATAAGATATAAACATTAAAACATTTTATACTTTATAGCAAATGATTTTCTCCCAAAGCATAATTTGTCTTATTTCATAAGGAATAGAATTATTCATGTCTATTTTTATCAATTTTGTCTCTGATTCCAGAGCTAAAATACAATGTGGATGGGTATGCCCTGAGTAGTACTGGCACTGCTGAGAGGAAGTGAAAGTGCTGTTTTTGCATATTCTTAAATATTTGGTTACCATCTTGCCTGCTTTTGATCAGGATTTTTCCAAAAGTGCAATGTATTGAAAGATAGATTTTTAAAGATGCTCACAGCTATGTGAAGGGAAAAATCAATTTCCCAGTGTCAAACTGTGGGATTCCAGAAGATGTTAAGAATACAGAAAAATAATTTTTTTCTTCTCTGAAACATTATGCAAAGAAAGGCATAAACTGGGGAGGAGGTATCATTGTCTTATACACATTGTTGCTCCAAAGATTTGACTGTATCGAAAATGTCAGGTTTGGGAATCTGGATCTGCCAGATAATGTTCTAAATTGTTCACTTCAGGTTAAATACATGCCTTGTTATATTGACATTTAGCCTTGTCATATTGACATTTAGCCAGGTTTGACAGCTAGAGAACCAAAACAAATTCTGCTCACGAGAGGGGTGAAATTTTGCATCAAAGCAATTGCTTTGGATTATGCTTTGTTTCATGATAAACTATCATATAATTGAATCAGCCATTCGGGAAGCCAGACTAGTTGTTCATGCCGTCCTGGCCATCAAGAATCTGCCAGGTGTCCTAAAGCTGTCCTTGGTGCTGGATAGTGAACAGAGACTCTCAGACATGGTATAAGAAGACATTGACTGAGGCTGCAAGACCAATGTGGACCTCAAATTTTGACAATTATGCAATTTTCAACATTTGCACAGTCTCACCTGGTTTAATATTAATGGTGACACTGTACATAAAGCCAGATTCCCTTCAATAATGGATGTGTTCATAAGGAAAGAAGCCAAAAGAGCATTCAACTTTTCTCTGTGTCCTGTTTCATGTCTGAAAAACAGTTTTTAAGCCATGATCATGCTAGAAGTCTCAAAAGCTAGAAGTGGCCGACACATCTCTGAACCTAAGAGGGGCTAGTTATGAACCTGTGATCTCTGTAGATACTCTGAGGCCATACACCCAGTGACAGAATTTAAAAGCCTCACCAAGGCACAAAGCTAGGAAACATCTGTACAGGGAGCCACAGTGAGACCCATCGTCTTTAAAGTTGTCAAGGGAGGATGTGTTCTATGAATAATAACCCCAATTTCTGTTCTCTGTCACCTTTCCCTTAGGGACATCTCAGAAGGCACCATGGCTATCATTAGACAGATCCCCTTCCCTCTCTAATGTTACAGCCAAAGCATCAAGTCCAGGCCTTGTCCCTAATGCCCCTGAGCACTCTTAGGACAAAGTTAGAAAACTTGGGTAAACTTCGCTAAAGCCTGGGGATAGCAAAAGGGAAATAAAAGATATTCTTATTTATGGTATGAGCTTAGTGCTCAGCCCTGGCTTGCTGACATGAGAGACACAGGCTACCTTTCCCCAGCCACCCAGGCATCCCTCAAGCATAGCTAGACCGTTCGTCAGACCCTTTCCTCTGTTGCAGCATACCTGAGAGACGCTGTATCCATGCTTGACTCAGCACCTGCTACATTAGTTGCCTGCTGTCTCCATGACAGGCTGGAATACAAACGGAAGTGACTCAGTGTGGCTTTGATTACTCCTTAATTGTAAACTTCAAAGGACAAATGATTTACAACATGCTTCACATCTCGGTATAAGGCATCAGTAGAACCTCACTGGTCTAAACTGTTCAAAGCCCGAAAAGCAAGGTCCATGAGAGACACTAGTTCTCTCCCACCCCTTTAAGTCCTGTCTTTCCAGTTCTGGGTCCCTGTCTTGTGTGGACGATTGAATTAGGTAACATCTCCTCTTCAAGACTTCGGAAGGATGAGCTGTGTGAATTTTGAACAGCAGAAAACTAACATCCGTACCATGAGCCAAACATACAGAACAGCTTTCATTCCATCAAAATATAATTGACTATTTCAAACTGAAAGAAGAGGAAAGGAAGAAAAATACCTTCTTTTCAGCAGGCATTAAAAATTTCAAATTCTTATAGCTCTACATAGCAAATTACAACGAACAGTTTCTTAGTAACAGAATTAGTCCCTCAGAGAACAGTTGATTTCTCTAACAAATTTGTGAAACCAACAAACTAAAAGGTTGGATCCTAATTGGATTGTTGGACTTTTGTGAGCCACACCTGTGTCTTTGATATTCTTAGTAACCTTTCAGCAGAAATTATGCATGCACCATTCTCCGTCATCTGGCACTTCTGGTATGAATAACCCTTGTGGTGAGGAACTCTCTCCTCTTGGTTTCCCGACTGGTTTCTTATAACATCACTCATCCTAATTTACTTGAGCCAACAAATTGGGCATCCAGTCTGCAGTCCTTTCCCTCAACATTTGGAGAAGCATTCTTGACCATCTGAAATTCTTCAGAGTAAAAAGTTATAGAGGCTGGCCGGGCATGGTGGCTCAGGCCTGTAATCCCAGCACTTTGGGAGGCCGAGGTGGGTGGATCACCTGAGATCAGGAGTTCAAGACCAGCCTGACCAACATGGAGAAACCTTGTCTCTACTAAAAATACAAAATTAGCTGGGTGTGGTGCTACGTGGGAGGTTGAGGCAGGAGAATTGCTTGAACCCAAGAGGCGGAGGTTGTGGTGAGGTGAGATCGTGTCATTGCACTCGAGCCTGGGCAACAAGAGCAAAACTTGGTGTCGAAAAAAAACAAAAAAAGTTACAGAGGCTGGGTTCAAGACCAGCCTGGCCAACATGTAAAACCCCATCTCTACTAAAAATACGAAAATTAGCCAGGCGTGGTGGAGGGCACCTGTAATCCCAGCTACCCAGGAGGCTGAGGCAGAAGAATCACTTGAACCTGAGAGGCAGAGACTGCAGTGAACCCAGATCGTGCCACTGCACTCTAGCCTGTGTGACAGAGCAAGACGCCGTCTCAAACAAACAAAAAAAGGTTACAGAAAATGTGCCATATATGAAACTGGGTTCATTTAATTCATTAAAATTTGGGGTATTTGCCCAACATTTTATGCAAAGAAAGACTGATGTGCTTAATTAAAATTACCCCACAAGGAAAACAATTCCAAAAAATTGGCTTTTAAAATTATTTATCTATCTAGTTATCATTCCTTACACATTTGGTCAGCAAACAATAAACACTTGCTTGGAGCCAGGCTCTATTAAGATGGTGAAATAGAAAATGAAATAAATGCTCAGAGCACTCTCTGTCTTTTCAAGGAATGTAAGCCTAGTGGCAGAAACCTATTTTTAAAAGATAGTTAAAACACAGATGCTCTAAAACAGACAGTGAGTACATAAAGACTCCAAACGAGCAACCTTCACATCCAGGAATCAGATGTGCACCTGCTCATTTGCCCATTGCTCACACCCTGGGAAGAGCTTGTATGGCAAAACTAAGTCTCTTCTGTGGTGTTCCTGAATCTGTCAACCTCCTGATATCCCTACCCAATCCCACTGGCCATTTGAATGGTCTGCCAACACCAGTTGGGATCCCACGCCCCGCCCCCCATCCCTGGGGGAGAGAGGTGAAGATGACAGGTTAGCACAGACTAACTTGCCAGGTGAACAAAGGGTGGTAGGCAAGGTAGGCAGAAGATATGGGGAGGTTAGTCGTCCAGAACCACCATTCCTAACAAGTGGCAAGAATTATCAGGAAGCAAGAAACAACTTGGGGAATTGGTCAGGATGAAGGACATTCCAGGTATTCATAGGAGAAACTAGAGCAATGGAGAGTTTCTGTTTTCTTTGCAATACACAGACTATTTGATGCATCAAAGATCTACTTCAAAGTAAAATGGTGCAATGAGGCCTTCTTTTCTGATATAATTTCAAGCATTATGCACATAATTAGAATCATAAGCAGCATTTTATTCCCTTGGAAGGGGTAGTTTCCTGATGGATGCTTAAATCAAAAACATGCAATAAGAACTAAAGGGGAGGTTAAACTCAACTTTCAACTTTATGAGATAAATATGTTCCTATTTTATTAGCCCAGGAAACATCTTAAGAAGACTTAGAAAGAGGGGTGGTTGAAAGAGAAAAATTGATGTATTGAGCCTATAAATTGTCTTGGTATTTTTCCAAATAACTTCTCAGTTGTTTAGGGTCAGATATGACCTTGACGTTGAAACCCATAGATAATCTCCAAATCCATTTTTAGTTAATCATCTTACTCCCTGAAATTTTGTCCAGAGTTTCAGACAAAGGTCAACACTGTCAGAAATGTGGCTCAGCACTTTCCTGGAGTGAGGGATCAATGCACTGGGATAACTTACTGACAGTAAAAGGAAATGAGATTGAATAGTGCAACAACCCCCTGGGCTACCATCACTGAAATTATGCATTTCACCCAATAATCTGAAGCAAGTCCACAAGAAGAGACTTCTAGTGCAGTCCCTAATTGCTGGTTTGCCTGGCTCTCTTATCATATTATAGTGTGGCGAACAACGAAAGCATGTTCTGTGTGTCCTGGGACAGGAAGCTTCTGGTTTGTATTATGTTCCATTGGAAACAGAGCATCACAGAGCAGGGGCAAGAGTTCGGCCTTGGTGCCAGGCTACCTGGGGAGCCTGCAGAGGCCTATGCCTATGTTCTATGTCTCCTTCCCCTTTGTTAACTGCTCACAGAGCTCTCTGCAGCACTAGAAACATCACCCAGTCCTATGTCTCCATGAATGGACACCTCAAAAGGTGTTCTGGGACCAGAGGCATTAGTATCACCTAGAGCTTGTTACAGTGCAGAATCTTAGGCCCTATCCAGATCTACTGAATCAGAATCTGCATTTTCACAAGATTCCCCAGTGATTCCATGCGTGTTAAAATCTGCAATACATGGTTTACAAAACTGAATCAGCTATGAAGAAAAGAGATTGGAGAGAAGTATTTTTTGATAATCAAGAGAGCCACTAA